AAAATACAAATTCATATCATGAGCATTTTTTCTGTCCCATGCAGAATCATTAGTATTTGCCTACTGATTTGGAAAATTGTAATGTGGCTTTTTAAAAAATGTATCTCGTACCGTTATCCATAAATGTCTAACACATTATGACTTTAGTAATCCTAGAATGATGTATGGAATTGAACTTGCAGCCTAAGTAAATCATTCTTTACAAAATGTGGCTATCAACTTTCTTTCTAACAAAGTGATAATGTGATGAAGTGGTTAAAAGAAAACTCACTTCCAAAAAAATAATAAGTCAATACCACACACACACACACACACACACACACACACACACACACACATTTCAACTCATTTCTCAAGCAGTATGTCTTAAATATAAAGTTTACTTTAAATACAGGGGAGCAAGGAATTTCTCATTCAAAACTGACATTAACAGCACACCTCGTAGATTCTTGCTATTTTTAGCTAAAATACAAAGAAAAAAACACAGATTTTTATAGGAAAATCCACATATTCCTGAATAAGAAACAGAAATACATCTTCATATCAAAATCTGGCGGAAGTTGTCATATGCTACAAAACAAAGATAAGAATCCATAAGAATAAGGATTGTGCCTCAGACTTTGCCTCATGAAGCAGATATCAACTAAAAAATCAGATAAACATTATGACTATTAATGTGAATTGGCTGAAAAACATAAAATCTAATCATGTGCTGCTTAGCAGAGACAAAAATACCTCAAAGTGGCACACAAAAGAAGCTAAAATGTAAAGGATGGGTATTGAGAAAGTGATGACCCCTATACAAATATCAAAGAATTCTAGACACCACATATAGCAGTGTAATTGATACAATTCTTCAGGTGCACATTTTAGAAATAGGCATCAGTGTTTAGCCATAGAATTTTGATGTGTATGTTGACCCAACAGTTTTATCTCAAGAAATTTTTCAATTTTCCACAATCAGTTGTTCATATTTAAGCTGGCTACAGTAGCACACACCCATAATCCCAGCGGCTTGGGAAGCCGAGGCAAGAGGATCACAAGTTCAAAGCCAGCCTCACCAATTTAGCAAGACCCTGTCTCAGAACAAAAAATGAAAAAAATGTCTGGGGATGTGGCTCAGTGGCTAAGCACCCCTGGGTTCAATCCCTGGTACAAAAAAAAAAAATACATTTATATGAAAAAAGTAGGAAAATATTTTCTTACAGGGAGGTTTATCACAGTATTCTTTAAAAAGATGTCTATCTTCAGAGGTCAGAAACATGGCCCACTGAGTTAGTTAATGGGGTTCTCCTAAGGAGCTTCATGGGAAGAAGGCCTTTTCAGCCCAGCCCAGCCCAGCTACTACCAGCCTTCTCTACTCTGCTTATTCATGTTGAGATGGTCTGAACCTTCTACATGCATCCCAAACAGTCTCCCACACCAGTGTGGGCTTCTCACCAGGAAAGGAGTGTCTTGCTTTCTATCCAGAACTTTGTACTTGTACAGTGATTATTTTATATTGTATCCACCTAAAAAATAAATATTAAAAAAAAGAAAAGGAAACACACACACACACACACACACACACACACACACAGCCTGGATATAAGAGGAAAGAGATACAATTAAAAAGTCAAGGAATTTAGAAAATAGCAATGATAATTTGAATTCAAATTGTTAATATGAGCACATACAACATAAGTATAAAGATTTCCTAGTTCTGTCCTCAGAGGAAAACTAGAAACACTGACACCTCAAAAGCAAAGTTTCCAACCTTGATTTCTAAAAATCATTGCTCCTTGACAGAAACCAAGAGAGCCTATAATAGGAGCCTAAAAAATCTTGCTTATACACAGCAAAAGCTTGTTTGAGTTAATGGGGTTGTGTTAAAAGGTCACAGGAATTTCTTGACAAAGTCCCACTGGCCATATTTTGGACAATTTGAGCATGAAGAACAATAATACCTGCACTTGAATTAATAAAAATTCATGATTACAGAGTAAAAAATAACAGAGAGGAAAAGGAAAATGATTTGTCATTTAGATGATCAAACTATGAAGATAAACAAGAAGAGTCTTGCAAAAATCAAGGTAATGGTATCTCTAAGGAAAGAGGGGAGACCAAACTCATGGTTCAGGTACTTCATCTTATCTACATGTTTTATGAAAGTTTCTGTATCTATCCTATTTTTAATGAAGATACAAAAATATGAATGATTTAAATCTCCCACAAAATTGACTATTTAACCAAAGAGGCTAGAAAGAGCAAAGGTCTTTCATAGTTGATGGAATTGCAGTTGATTTTAAATCCTCTTCCATTTGCTCTTCTTTTTGCTGATTTTATACAATAAATGTGTACTACTTTAGTAGCACGCAGAAAATGAACCTATAGTTTTACCCACTACACATACAATGTACTCAAAGCTGGCAAAGCCTACACATAGTAGCACAAACTTTGCGTCTATCCTTCTTTAAAAATCCAGTTATATGCACCTCCATTGTTTTCTCACACTCTCCTTTCTGCTTAAATCTTTCCAAATAGATATCACAGAGGCAGAGATTTAGCTACAGATGAAGCACAACTCTTTGAACAATACACTTGAAATACTTGGTACAGTTCTGAGTTTCAGCTCCTAAAAATATAAGAAAAGAAGATATAAAATGGATGAGAAGGGACTGCAAAATAATGAGGCTTAAAATTTTTCCAGTACCATCATATATCGAGGACTCATCTTAAATTCTTCAGGGTTGATGGCACATTTCTTAAGGAGCTTTAATAATATAAATATCTCATCGCTGAGAGTGAAGTTCATTTTTGGAAACAACCAAAAACCATCCAGAGCCAAGTCTGATGAATAAAGTGGTTGATCAAGCAGGGAAGCTACTTGTTGGTTAAAAATGAGGTGCCATTGTAGAGTGATGAGACAAAACAATTGAAACTAACTCAGAAATCATTCCAAAGTAGAAATCTTCATGCATTTTTTAAGCACTCTTTGTGAGGAAAATAAATGAAGACTCTTCCCAAGTGAGTACTTGGAAAGAAGACTATTTCATGAAAGACTATTTTATGATTATCATTCCCTATCAATTACTCTCACTGAATGAGGATATAATGACCTCAGAACCCTCACATCCTCAGAACCCTCACATACTGAGGTCATCACTTATCTCCTCCCAAGAGAAACCCTCTCATGTGGCACCACTGTACTGTGAGCTTGTGAGACCCCTCCCATCCTATGAAATGTTGTTTGTTTATTTATTTACTTATTTATTTTGGTGGGAGGTGCTGGGGATTGAACCCATGGCCTTGTGCATCTGAGGCAAACACTCTACCAACAGAGCTATATCCTCAGCCCCTATGAAATGTTTTGAAAGTCTGTCTTCTCCCCCAAGAACTTGAGTCTAATCACCCTTGATGATCAACTCCCCCACAATGTATTTTAATTGGGGGATGGTGTCCCAATGTTTAATCCAACGTCTTCCATTCTCTTATTAATGCAAACCAGTTAAAAGACTTGTAGAAAATCTCTGGATTGGGTGATTCTCTTTATAATATCATTTTCACTCCTGAAGTCATTGCCTACCTAGAATCTTCTCCCAGTGGACTGGGACCTGGTGACCAGAGGAGGCAACATCATTCATACCAGAAAATATCTCTCTCTAGCTTTTGACTCTGAGCCTATTTGTCTATTACCAGTGATCCAGGTCACCCGTAACTCAAGGTCACCCATAACTCAAGGTAGCCTTTCCAACAGGATGCTCAGAGGCAGAGATGGGAGAACACCAGCAAAAGACGGATCCATCAGAGTCTCAGAGTCTTTGGGATTCTAACAAGAAAACAGAGCTCTGAACTGTGGCTGAGTTGAACAGAGTAAGATCAGACTAGGTTTCTGTGGCTCCATTTCCTCTAGTCTATAAACCCATCAAAGCAGACTCTCCTGACAACACAAATGAACAAAATAGGTAAATCCCAGCCTAACGATTTAGTTTCGAGCTTTTAAAAAGTGAAGTAAATCCCAAAAAAACAAAATAGAAAGGAAGGGGGTGAGGAGGGTAAAGGTTGTAAAAACCATACTAACTGCACATTTCTTTAACCAGGCTCAGTGAGCACTATTGATGAAACCTGGTTCTAGTTTCAGCGGGCAGTGTGAATTTCAAAGACTCCCTTTTTTGTCAAACTAAGTTTATAAACACAGCTATTTGCTAATAAATGTGACCTTTAAATCATATTACTCTAAACACAGACTTACTCTGTATACAGGCTGGGAGGAGATGGGGGAAGGGGAGGTTTGAAAGGGAGAGAGAACGCCCAGAGAAATACCTTGAAGGAAACAAACACCCCTCTTCTCAGCCACTCAGATCTCAAACAAACCTTAAATGGCCATTTCTGATCAGGAATTTCACCCATTCTTTTATTCAACAAATTTCTTTTTAATCTCTTGAGTACTAATGATGGAGGAGGTTCTAGGTGAATACAGTAAAGGTACAAAAAAAATAAGAAAACACAGACATGGTCTTCAGCAACTTTGAACATGCAGCCATAAGCTTTCCATACTGATAGTGTTGATTATGGTGGCATTTAGGAAGTATAGTGTCCAAGGAGTCTGTATTGAAGGGGATGAGATCTCTCTTACCCGTGATGGGAAGGACGGGGAAGGCTTTGAAAAGGTTGATTTTTGAGTTAGTCCTGTCAGGATATTTATTCTTTTTTTTTTTTTTCCAGCCAAACAGTAGCTTTATTAGGGCGCTGGATTCTTCACATACCTTAATATGCTCGGAAGCAATCCCTAGGGTGCCTGTGGATGCCTCCAGCATTTGGGACAATACTGTGTAGCGTTTATACTGGAAGGATATAAATAAAGCTTCGGTGCACAGGCTCTCAGGACAGGGCGCAGGTTAACACTGCCACGTGAATACGTCACACAGCACCAGCTCTCAACGGGAGTGGGGGGGTTTGGCTAAGGGGATAACTTCTAAGTGACTGAAACCCGGGCTGTCACCGCAGATGCTCAGACCCCGATGGCGGAGAAGGGTCTAGGGCTGTGGCTCTGTATGGCCCTGTCGCTTTGCCTTCATCTGCAGGTACCCGTCCTTTGCCTTCTTCAAAGCGCTTTTTCTCATCCTCGGTCTCGGGAACGAGCTGCGGTACAGGCAGCGACTTGCCCTCCTGGCTCAGGGACACGTAGGTGAAGAAGGCACTGGCTGCCCGGTAGCGTTTCTGGGAGTTGTCCACCACGGGGTCGGCATCCACCAGCACCTCAATTTCCATGGACTTATTGCTCGTAAAGGTCATGCGCCCGGAGATGGTGATGACGCAGCCTTTCCGGATCTTGTCGTGAAAATTGATGGCGTCCACGGAGGCAGTGACTATGTTGGTCTTGCAGTGGCGTGCAGCAACAATCCCAGCCACCTCGTCCATGAGCTTCATGGTGACTCCTCCATGCACGAAGCCGTGCAGAGTGCAATCCGAAGGCCCCACCAAGTGGATCAGGCTGGACTGGCTGTAGCTCACGGTGTTGGGCTCTGGGTTCTGGACGGGCTGGACAATGTCCCCATTCCTCCACTTGGTCTCCATGCGCTCCAGCTTCTGGGCTTCATACCGCTTCCGGCCTTCCTCCTCCTGCTCCTGCCGGGAATACACGACAGGAGGCACCTCCAGGACCTTGTCCACATTCTTCAGCGACAGGGGCACGTACCACAGCGTAGCCTTATTGGTCAGCTTTTGGTACCTGTGAGGATGTTCTCAGACATCACGTTGACCTGGACCTCCACTGAGTGCTTGGAGGTGTAGGTGATCTCCGCGCTGACGTGCGCCACCTCCCCAATGCACATGGGAGACAGAAAGTCAGTGCGCTCCACACGGGCCAGGGCAGCCACACAGCGCTCCCCGTTCTGGCTATTGCAGTGCCGGGTGCTGATGATGGCGCCCGCCTCCTCGATCATCTTCAGGATGGTTCCGCCGTGGACATTGCCAGCCACATTGGCATCATCTGGCCGCATGATCCGGCAGATCTGGATGGCAGACGGCGTCTCGGCGGCGGGGCCCGACACGCTGGCCGCGGCGGCGGCGGCAAAAGCGACGGAGGCGGCGGCCGGGGGCGGAGGGAGCAGAGCGCAGGTGTCCGGCGGGCCCGGCGCGGAATCAGGATATTTATTCTTTTGGCAGACTGAAAAAAAACTTAGAGATCATTCCAAAAACAAGCAACGTGAATACAGTTAAGGAGCAAGAGGAAGTGGGTTAGTACAGTTATGCACCACACACCAACATTTTGGTCAACAAGGGGTCATATATGATCATAGTCCTCCTATACAATTATATCCTGTTATTGTAGCCATCTTAGTTTGTGTAAATATATTCTGTGGAGTTCATAGCTGACAAAAATATCTAACAATTTATTTACCCAATGGTATCCCTGTAATTAAGTGACAGATGACTAGATTTATTAATCACCTAATGGCCCCATGTGTTCAAGTGACTCTGCTACCTCTCAGGTCAGGGGAAAGTCAAATTATATCAAAGCAGGTTGTTATATTGTTTGGAAAGGGAAGGTTCATAAACTCAAATCGCTGAGGACCCAAAGCTGCGTACAGAAGGAAGTAGTAAGTTAGAAGGTAATAAATTATTCTACAACCAAATACCATTTAAAACACCATTGGCTCCTTCAAAAATATTCTGTGGTCTCTAACCCAAAATATATACACGTAGAGGGGGGAAAAGGTAGTTGGAAATAATTTTGTAAGTATTTTGAATGTCAAAATTAGAAATATATAGTTTGGGTTGAAGACCTCGAAAGTCATTAAGCATCTTAGAGTAGTCATAACTTTGAGTGATGTTTGGGAAATTAATACATCAGCAAGGGAGACAAGTAGATCAAATAGTGGAAGATCCAAGGAAAGGGGAAAAAGTACTTCTTGGACACAGGCTTTAGCATTAATGTACGAGGTAATGTTATCTTTACTGTTTTTCAATTCCCTAGCAAAGTCTCTTACAGGTTGAGCACTGGTCTCTAATCCAAAAATCTGAAATGCTCAAAAACCTGAAAATGTTTAGTGGTGACATGACACCACAGGTAGAGAATTGTACACCAAGAAACTTTGTTTCATGCACAAAGTTATTTAAAACGTCGTATATAATTACCTTCAGGTTGTTTGTGTAAGGTGTATAAGAAACATAAATACATTTTTTGAGTGCAGTGGCTCAGACTTCTAATCCCAGCAGCTTGGGAGTCTGAGGCAGGAAGATCGTGAATTCAAACCCAGCATCAGCAACTAAGAGAGAATTTTAACAACTTAGACCCTGTCTAAAAATTTTTTAAAACTTTAAAAGGGCTGGGGATGTAGCTCGGTGGTTTAGTGCTCTCTGGGTTCAATCCCCAGTACAAAATAAAGAAAGAAAAGAGAGGAAGGAGGGAAGGAAGGGAGGAAGGAAAAGAAACAAAGATATTTAAAGTTTAGATTTGGGAAGTTTAGATATCGTATTATATACATATGCAAGTATTCCTAAATGCTATCATTTGTATCTTTAACATCCCTCAAAGGCACATGTGTTAAAGGATTTGGTCCCAGCCTGTGTTGTTATTAGGAGGTGATAGTAACTTGAGGAAGTGAGACCTAGAAGAAGGAAGCTATTCATTGGGCTGTGCTCTTGAAGATTTTGTGACCCTAGTCTTCTTCTTTCACTCTCTTTTCGTTCTAGATGCCATGAGATAAGCTACTTCATCTACCATGTGTCCCCATCATGATGTAATACCTCACCCCAGGCCCCAAAGCAATAGGGCCTACTGACCATGGACTGAAACTTCCAAAAGTGTGAACCAAAATAAACCTTTCCTCCTTTTAGATGATTAACTCAGGTATTTTGTTACAGTAACAGAAAGCTGATTAGCACCAAATCGGACCAAAAAGAATCAGAAATCTAAAACACTTCTGCTCCTCAATATTTCAAATAAAGGATACTCAAGCTGGATTGCGTTTCTTGTTTCCTTTCATCATTTCTTTAACTCTGTCAGTAGTCTGTTTAACTCATTCTGTCTTATTTTTTCATCTCCTTTTCTATCTAAAATTTGTGTCTGCCTCTCAGAATAATGGTCTTTTATACAATAATCTCAATCTTTTACATATATGAACTAACTTAATAACAGCTCTCTGAGAAAGAAAACTGCCATCTAGTGCCTAGAGCAATGACCCAGCACCTAAATAGCAGGTGACCAGTAAATGTCTGTTAGGTGAATGCCCATCTTATAGAACAGAAAACAAGAGAATGTAGAACTTAAGTGAATTGCTCAAGATCCCAGTGCCATTAATTTCTGAAGCTCAATTTGGTTCCCAGACAGAAGAATCTTGATCACAATTCTGTTTCAGTTGTTCATTTATTTCAAATATGTTCTTATTTTCCCTTATCTATGCTATTTCTTTCTCTCTTTCATTTATTAAACCCTTTCAGGACTTAACATAACTCAGGACTTAACAATCCTTCTTAATTTTTAGTCAAAAAATTAAAATATGCCTTAAATGTGCCCAAAATTCAGTGATGTTAACTACCTACATTTTTTGGCTGGGAGCCTTTGGTGTGTTTCTGTACCTTGTAAACTGAAAACATCTTGGATTTGATTTCACCTTTTTTCTGGATCTTCATCTCATAAATGATGGGGGGAAAGGTGTCTGCATTTCTGGGTTATAACACCTGGAATCATAAAAACAGTTCAATGAGACACAAACAACAGATGGATTGCTTCTCCGAAAGGTGAATGAGAGAAAATTGGCTAGAATTCCAGCTCCAGTGTGTCTAACATACATCAGAACGTGAGCGTGCACACACACACACACACACACAACCAATCTCTGTCTGCAATTAGTCATCTACCATTATCTGTATGGTAAAAATATCTGTTTTCCTACCCTTGGCACTCTTGGGCCCTTAAATATAAAATTGATTACATTCTTGGTTAAGTTTTAAGTTTCTAGAGGTTCCTAGCAATTCTATGAGTTGTAGGTATTTGGTATTTCTTCTTCCCCAATAGATTATATAATACCTGATGAGAAGCATTTTCCATGTAGCTATTTCCCTCCCACTGCACCTGCCAGCATATGCTAAAGCATTTAGGGGATGCTGAATAAGTAAATGCTCTATGCACAACACACACACACACACACACAGGATTGTATGCACACAGGTGTGGCCTACTTCCTGTCACACTCCAGTTATTAAAATTTTATTTTGACCCTAGATGTTTCTCCTCTGTTGACTGATTCTCTTATAAAGGTTTCGTTAAGTAGAAAGTGAACATGTTAGCTTTTCACTTAATAAGCTCGTTACATTCTCTAATAAGCAGTTTCCCTTCTTTTTAACTCGGTTGAACCAAAGTTCACATAGGCCATGGCTCTTTCACAGGCTTCTGAAGACAGAACCGATGGCAAGCAAGTAAGATAATAACGGTATATACAACTCATAACTATAGAGCATCAAGGATTTGTCAGACAATGTAGTCACTTCAGGTAAACACAGATGTAGTTTCTTATTCCTAAGAAACTCTTAGACTTATCTAAGAAAAAAAAAAGAAAATAAACTTAAGATAAATCAATTGTCTGAGACTGTAAGTGACAAGTAGCTCAGACAATGAGGACTACACAAAATCCACAGAAAGTTTTCTATGGGTCAAAATGATCTACAAAGAGCTTCACAGAACTGGAAATTTACCTTTAAATACTTATATTTAAGATCATCAGGAGGTAAAGCTTTTGCCCCATTTCCTCTTTGTAGGATGTTGTTTTATAGATGGCTGCTTCCTCATGTCACTTAGATGACGAGTGTCACCTATTCAGGGTCACCTTCCTTAACTGCTAAATCTAAGGAGTCATCCAGTTATCTCCTATAGACCACCTAGATTTGAACCCCTCTTTAACACTTATTCTCTAATATTTCTTTCTAAAACGGAAGTTCCAGAAGTGACATTATTTTGTTCTGTGGTGTTCACAGTTCCTTGGAGATTGCAAAAGGTGCTCAATAAGTTCTAGATAAATACATAACAGGCAGATGGCTAAATGGATTGTGAAAATGGCAAGAAAAGACCTGTAACAGTTAGAATGCAAAGAATAAATCTGACAAGGTGTCAACTCCAAACTCAAGTGGAGAGGTTAGATAAAGGAGCAGTGGGGAAATCAAATTAACAAGGGATATAAATACGCAATGCACAGATTTAGAACTAAAATATCAAATAAGCATATGAAACAGATACCGCCTCATGAGTTATTAAAAATGCTAACTAAAATAATTAGCATAAAAATCGACAACATGTGAAACTGACATTTAAAGCCCCAAATGGACAGTAATTCTCAAATTCAGAATTATTTCTGGAGGAAAATATGCTTCTAAAATCCTGAATAATCTATATATCCCTTGACCTAGCAATTCTACACTTAGAATTTATCTTAGCAAATAATTGAGCAAAATTGAGCTTCAGGCATGTGAATCTCAGGACTGTTTATAAAAATGAAAAATTGAAAACTGCGTAAATGTGTCACAATGGGTAATTAGTTTAATGGATTATGGTATGCTTCTGCAATAGAATACTATACGTCCATTAAATAGGTTGTTTTAGGCATGAAAGATATTCAGAATGCATTGCTTACTGGAAAAATCATTTACAAAACTATACACACACACACATTCTCAAATATATAGAACTGGACTGCCATTTCATATATATATATATATATATGACAAATTTATGCTTTGAAAATAAGCTGAATATCCAGAACTAAAATAGTGAAGTAAGAGGTGCCTGCTGTATCTGCCAAACTTCATCTGTTTTTCTGTTCAATTATAAAATGTGGGACTAAATAGTAAGTGTAAAGAAAATTAAGCAAATAATATGTAATAATTACTAACCTTAAGAAAAACAAAAGTCATATGATAAAGAAACAAAGGCTTCCATGCACAACAGGCTAAGCTTTGAATAACATTTGCACACCCTTAATAATGCAAACCATAACCAACAAAAACAACAACAACAAAAGTGTGACACAACTATTCTGTGAAAAAATCGGAGGGAAGGAGTACATATTGGGATGTACTCCTTCTCCCAGAGAGAAAAAAACTAATAAATAACATCTAATGAAAAAGTCAATAAATAACAGCAAAAGAATACTATTTTGTGGATTTAGAGAT